TATATATATATATATATATGTATGTATATATTTATGTATATATATATTTATGTATATATACATATTTATTTATTTATTATAAATCTGTTCTAAAAAAAACGTACCTAAAAAATGAAACTGTGCACTTGTGTCTGCAGTACGGCGTGAGCAGCACTGGGGGGATGTGTGAGCCCATCACCCTCCCTGCGTGCCAAGGCCTGTCCTACAGCCAGACCATCGTCCCAAACCTTTTGGGCCATGCAAGTCAAAGAGAAGCGGCCTCCAAGATGTCCTTTTTCAACTCGATAGTGCAGACCTTGTGCTCGGCAGACATGCATGTCTTCCTGTGCAGAGTTTACACCCCGGAGTGCGTGGAGGGGCAGGTGCAGCGGCCCTGCAGGTCATTCTGTGAAAAAGCCAGACAGAGCTGTGAGGGTTTGATGAGTAATTTAGGAGTTTCCTGGCCTGTTGAGCTGCAGTGTCACTCCTTCCCAGAAGAAATGTGTGTATCTGTAAGTATATTCTAGACGAGGAAAACAAAGAAGTTTGTTTTGAAATTAACTGTACATTTTTGTTTTGAAATGCTGCATTTTCAGATTTTTTTTTACACATAATTGTTTCTTCTTTTACAGGAAGACCTCAGGAAGGAGGTAAGCTCTTCCGTAAAAACGATATATTACTCTAACATCTTTTTGCTTAAAGGTTTGTTGCAAACTATGAAATCAAACATAAAAGTGGTTCTACTGAAAAAGTTTACTCCAGTAGTTTTCAGATATATTGATACACATTTCATAAATGCAGGTACACGTTCAGTATAAACAAAGCACTTTTATTTGCATATCACTTCAGCTACACTACAGTATACAAAGTCACATGGTAATTAACATTTTTTACTTATTCATTTTTACTTTGAAGGACAAATTCACGACTGATATAATAGAAAAAAATGTTAATTCTGTTTCTTACTTTAAAAAAATAATGTTTTTGACGGGTCTTCTTAATTTTTCAGATTACATTTAAACTGCATGAAAGAAACCAAAAAAATGTAATATTGTCATTTTATAATTAAACAGTGCAACATTGAATTAAGTTCCCGTGTGTTGTTGTAATTAATTTCCTATAGATTTGGACCTCATAAATATGATGTGTAATTTTTTTGTTTATTTGTTTTCTAATCTTGTTTTCAGATGCTGAGTGCAGAGGAAGTTCTTGCCAAATTGAATGCTAATGGCTACACTGTTAGTGGCAAATGTCAGTTTATTTTACACTAATTTAACAGAAGTGTCTCTTTAACTGAAGAATGTTTATTATTATTATTATTATTATTATTATTATTATTATTATTATTATTATTATTATTTTGATGTTTATTTGTTTCTAATGCAGCTTTAACTCTCACGACGGCCCGATTGCTGCTGATTCTGATGGATGTATCCTTCGTTACTAAGTATTTAGGATTTTGTGCCATTGATTTGCTGACTTCATTAAAACAATAAATCCAACACTTACCGGTAACTTTAAAAAATGTTTGTTTTTTTCATTTCGTACCTTTTTAAGTATTTGGTTTAGAGGAATTTCAAGCTATAAATGAATGTCTGAAGTGATCCTTAACCAGCCCTTTCAGGCAGATAAAACAGGAGACCTGGATGCGGTGGAGTTCTTCAGATTGGAGCACTATGTGGCCGTGATCAGGAGAGAGTACGTGGAGAACTACGAAAGCAGCACTCCATCTACGGTCATACAGGCTAATATGAAAAAGGCTGTTGATGCCCATGGTGCGAAATGATTTCTTTATTATTCTCTTGTGTTAACTTTTCCGGAAAATTTTGCTAATATCCGTGTAAGATCGACTTGAAGTGAATTTGAATTATGATATAAATTCAAATTCACATCCCATGTTTTTAATACAACACAGGCAGTTCCACTTTTTTTTTGTTTGCCCAAGTCACAAATGTAAAGCAAACAATCAAAACGATTTTTAAAATATATATTGAATAAAAGGTTATTAGTATCACTTGTTTTGTTTTTGTGCAGGTTTTTCTTTGGATGATGAAACCTTCAAGGCTCTGTGGTTTGAATACAACACTAAGGGTGGAATCGACTACGATAAATATGTGGCAGCCCTGACAAAACTTCAAATCCTCAAAGGTAACGGCAACCCCAACCTGGCTTTTGTATTTTAGTTTTTATTTGAAATTTTCCACATTTTTGTCCATTCAACAGTGAACTACATGTTAAGATACTGTTTTACTGGACATTTTAGAATAAATTTAACTTGATTACACTTTTCTCTTGGATCAGATCGTTTCCAGGCTCATCTGCTGAATTTGTCGTGTAATTGCCAAATCGCCAGTTTCTCTTTTAACCAGGTAAGTTTATTTTTTTATTGATTTGGGATTTGTCTGGTTAAAAAACAGTAAATAAGTAAATTCATTAATTCATTCATTCATTCATTAACTCATTCATTCATTCATTCATTCATTCATTAATATTGTGACATCAGAGATATTTTTAACAGTTCAGTAGCCAGTGTGAAAATCTTCTACAAATGTTTCAGCAGCAGACAGTTTTGCAACTTAAAACACCAATAGGGTAAATGGGCTTTAATTTTAACCCAGGTGTCYTCAACATATCTGAACCAATGGCTCGGTGGCACCCCTGAAAAGGACACCAAAAGTGCCACCGAGCCATTGGTTCAGATATGTTGACGACACCTGGGTTAAAATTAAAGCCCAGGAAGTCCAACATTTCACCGATCACATCAACTCTGTGGATGAATATATTAAGTTCACARYAGAGGATGTAAAAAATGGCAGGTTGGTGTTCCTGGATTGCGATGTCTTGGTTTTGGATGMAGGACGGTTGGAAACTGGCGT